CATAAACATAATAAATAGCTAAATAACAGAAGGTGATAAATACTATGGAAAAACTATAGATATGTAAGGGAGGTCTGGAGTGTGGGCAGGGGGAGGCAGGTTGCAACGGTGGTCAGAGTAGGCCTCATAAAGGTGCCATTTGAGCAGAGACATGGAGGGGAATGAGTGAGCTATGCAGCTGTCTGTGGGAAGAGCATTCCAGATAGAGGAAACAGCCAGTACTAAGACCATGAGGCAGGAGTTCCCTGGGGTTTTTAAGTGTGTGCCAGTGTGGTTAGAACAGAGTGGAATGGGAATGGGAGCATAATAGGAGACAGGCCAGAGAGGTAACAGGCTCAGACCATGGAAGACCCTTCATGCATCCGGAAGCTATTGCAGGGTTTGAACTGAGCAGTGACATTGAAACAGAGGTCCTGACTGCTATGCTGGGGATGGACAATGGGAAGGTAGGCCAGAGACTGAGAGGTGGCTAGTACAGAATTCCAGGCAGAGATGATGGCAGCTGGGCAGGGTGGCAGCAATGGAGGTGGTAGGAAGTCAGATTTGGGATGTATTTTGGAGATAGAGCTGATGGGATTTCCTGATGGAATTTCCTGATGGACTAGATGTAGGGTGTGAGAGAAAGAAAGGAGTCAGGCAAACTATGAAAGTATTGGCCTGTGCAGCTGAAAGAATGAAGTTGTTAGAGCTGAGATGGGAAGATTGTGCTGAGCATTTGTAAGAAAGGTAAAAAGTTCAGGTCACTGTGAAGGATCCAGGGGCAGAGAGGGAACTCAGGGGACTGAAGCACCCAGGAAGACCTCTGGAGGTGGGGTCAGAAGCACTGAGCAGGACCCACAAAGATTGGAGGGCAGTGAGGTGTGTGAGAAGGAGGCTGAAGGCTTGGGGTAGGTAACTGACCTCTCTAAGGTTAGCCTCCTCCCAGCTCAGCCCCTATCTGCTTCCTGGGCAGTTTGCTCAATTGAACAAACACTGACAGATCCCCTTCTCTGGGTTGGGCCTACTGCACAGAGTGAGGTTGTCACTGCTACTGGACTGTGTCTCCCAGTTGGGTAGGGGCAGCAGATGTGTGCTAGGAGGGGGGTTAGGGTAGTGGCAAAGGGATGGTCAAGACTGACAAGATAGGCTTTGGCCTAAAGACTGTGAGGTCAGAGCTGGTGTGTGTGTGTGTGTGTGTGTGTGTGTGTGCGCGTGCGCGCGCTCGAAGTAGAGAATTCCATGACAAGGGCAGTACATGTCAGAGGCCAGGGCAGAAAAGGTCAGTTATGCTAAGTAGATGTCTACTGGTCCTTAGAGTTAAGAGAGGATCTAGACCAGGGGTGGGCAAACTTTTTGACTCGAGGGCCACAATGGGTTCTTAAACTGGACCGGAGGGCCGGAACAAAAGCATGGATGGAGTGTTTGTGTGAACTAATATAAATTCAAAGTAAACATCATTACATAAAAGGGTACGGTCTCTTTTTTCAGTAGTTTTATTCATTTCAAACAGGCCGGATCCGGCCCGCGGGCCATAGTTTGCCCACGGCTGATCTAGAAGGTCAGGTGAAGTAAGGCCAGACCACCCTGAGAAGTTTGAGCTTGATTCTGTAGGCAATGGGGAAGCACTGAAAATTCTGGGCCTGACTTTATGGCATCACAGCTCCTTTGCCTGGGCTACAATTGCCCCTTCATGGTGGGGCACAGTGGACCATGCAACCACCTTGCCTAGTGTGGCACTGCCAGGCTCGTGCTGACAATTTAATGTTCTCATTATTGATGATAATTTCATAGGACACAGAGCTGCCAGCTCCCACCCCAGAGGCCCTCTCGGCTCATCTTTATTCAAAGCTGTGCTCTGTGAGCATTCTGCTCCTCTGGAGTCTGGCTGCAAGAGCCACAACATCCACTGCACACATATTTCACAGCCCACTGCCCCGTTCCTGCTGGACATTGTTTATCCTCCAGCCGGGGCTCAGAATATTTGGCATTTCCATCTCTTTCATCTGCTTCTTGTAAGGACAGATTTCCAAGGAGACAAGGTTTAGGTAACCCATAGAAAGGGGGAAGTCAGCAGGGAAATAGGTGAGGTGTGGGGAAGCAGC